TCTGGAGGGAGGCAACTAAAGCCTGGTGACCCGCCAGGTTTATGTCACACTGGAGAAAACCCAGAATTTGGCAAATGTAAAAGTCCCAAAGACATGTTTAGGGTGACCATTGTGTTACAGCCGGAAACTCCGTCATTTTGTATCAACCAGCAGAGCAACTGATGGCAAAGTTCACCATTTAACAGCCTCGGGCTGCTTATGAACCTATCTAACCCGTTATTCTCTTTACCTGCACGTCGACAGCCAAAGAAGTTATGGCACCATTTCTCTTCCCCTGTACAGTAAAGTGTGAGCTGTAAGAGGGGGAAACAGCGCATGTAAACGCGCTCATTGTGCGCTGGAATGCTTCTCTTCCTGGCTCCTTTGCGCATCGTTCTCTAGGCGTCGAGCGCGCCTTCCCGTCTGCAGAGACGTCAAAACGCGACCTGAAGACCTACGTGAAGCTGACACCCCACCTACGTCATAAAATCCAGCAGATAGTCTGATTGGTTAGTGCTCCGTTAGTGCAGGTTTGTGCCGTTAAAATTTTCGTTTGTGCAGCTTTGGTTTCCGAGATATTAAAAATTATTTTTTTAGGTCATCAGAGTTCACCATCCCCCCATATAGCTCCAAAACAAACCAAAGTGGGCTGGTTCGTTAGTGCTCGGTTAGTGCAGGTTTGTGCCGTTAAAATTGTCGTTTGTGCAGCTTTCATTGTTGAGATATTAAAAGTTATAATTTTGGCCGATTACGTAACCATCCCCCCATATAGCTCCAAAACAAACCAAAGTGGGCTACTTTTTTAGTGCTCGGTTAGTGCAGGTTTGTGCCGTTAAAATTGTCGTTTGTGCAGCTTTCATTGTTGAGATATTAAAAGTTATAATTTTGGCCGATTACGTAACCATCCCCCCATTACGCACCAAAACAAACCAAAGTGGGCTACTTTTTTAGTGCTCGGTTAGTGCAGGTTTGTGCCGTTAAAATTGTCGTTTGTGCAGCTTTCATTGTTGAGATATTAAAAGTTATTTTTTTAGGTCATCAGAGTTCACCATCCCCCCATACAGATTCTTCCACCCAAAAAGAGGAATAGGTCTTCATACCTGAGTTCCTGCACTGAATGGCTCCATGCAGATTCATCATCTGGGGCCAAAAGAGTGAAAGTGGGACTATTGAAAAATGGAAACATGCATCATCAGCCTGTTAAAGTTGGAATATTGTCACTCTCTGTGTTAAACACCTGCTCCTTTGATGCCTTTTGTCAGTGCTTATGCTGTACTTTCTGTGACAGCTCTGCATTTCAAAATATTGTCATGAATGACAGTGATGACCCACTCTTGCAGCTGGTGAAATCCATAGCTACAGATGGTGTGACCCCGAAGACATACTTGCAGAGGGCAGATCTGCTTAGTTCAATGTTTGCAAAAACACAGTTGAGGTCTGGCGCCCACCAAATTGATGCACAGTGCAATATTTCCACTATTATTGGGAAGACAATGAGAAATGTATCAAGCGTTTACCTCTCAAAACACTGCTCTTCACAATACTGCCACCTAAACAAAGGAATGACGAGGGAAGTACCATTTCTTTTACCTGACATTTCTGTCCTGAAGAATTCTGGCATGACTCAGCTTGGCACTTCAGTAGAAAAAGGACTCCTCCTTCCACAGTCTCCCTGTCTCCGACCACTGGAGAATGAATCAGAATGCCCATCTGAATTCAAAACAGTAGCCAGGAACTCAGGAAACGTTCTCTGTGCAGGAACTGTTACTCACACCTACAGCTTTGGAGGAATACTATGGGTTGACACTGACCTTTCAAACCCAACAGAATTTGCGTTAAGTGAATTTCCCTCCACTATGGTTCTCCAAGAAAAAACACTAACTTTGAGAGGAATCGTTGCTTTCAGGGGAAGCTTGACCAAAGATGGCCTTGGACATTACACTGCATACTGCCGGAGAGCTCCATCTGTGTGGGAGCTTTATGATGACCTTGCCAATATCATGAAGACAGTGTCTGAAACAAACAAAATACTTCCACATGCAGTGCTATACACAGCAGATCTGTGATAGAAAAAAGTTGGGGAGAAAGTTTGAAGAGAGCAACATACCATGTTTACATACCCCTGATCAGACTTTTTTTTCCTTTTTGCAAGTTCTTATGTGGAAAAGGATTTGATATTTTGAGTTTCAGTTGGGTAAATGTTTTCATATTTCTTTCTGCATAAATCTCAAAACAGAGTTTTGTATTCAAAGAGGAGAAATTAATTTCCAATTGTCAATGTTTGTTGTTGTTTCAATTGTTAAAGTTCATTGTTCAAATCAACACCGTTTCTTATTTGACTGTCAACTTATATTGCATTTTAAAACCAGCCACTTTCATGGTTCATTACTTCTCAATTGCCTCACAATGAAGATATTTGGGTGGGTGAATAGCTAACCATAACACACATGTATGCAAGTTCATGCATCACAAAAAAAATAATAAATTACCAGAGATATTTTTCTTCTAACTGTATTAATTATGCCATGAGTTCTTGCAAACAGTACCTTTTCTATAATAATTAATAACCTCAATTGCATAAAAATGACACGAAAACAAAACTTACCCACAGACAGGAATTTGCTGAAAGACAACTGGCGAAGAAATGAAACAGGGAGTACAGCATGCAGCAGGTGAAATTAATTGTCCCCTAATTAGGTGAATGTGCTCAGTGAATCTTACAATCTGGAAGCACCAAATGAAGTAAAGTAAGATTTTGTTGGTATATTTAGAAAATAGTAAGAATAACAATAATGGGGTCATCTCAAATTCTCATTTGCATAACAAACTAGCCTATTTCTTTTTTTTTTTTTTTTTTTTTTTGGAGCAAGAAAGGGGGTGGGGAAGGTGACATAATCTGAAAATATGATAACTTTTAATATCTCAACAACGAAAGCTGCACAAGCGAAAATTTTAACGGCACAAACCTGCACTAACCAAGCACTAAAAAAGTAGCCCACTTTGGTTTGTTTTGGTGCGTAATGGGGGGATGGTTACGTAATCGGCCAAAATTATAAATTTTAATATCTCAACAATGAAAGCTGCACAAACGAAAATTTTAACGGCACAAACCTGCACTAACCGAGCACCAAAAAAGTAGCCCACTTTGGTTTGTTTTGGGGCTGTATGGGGGTGGTGGTGACGTCATCGGCCAATATTATAACTTTTAATATCTCAACAACGAAAGCTGCACAAACGACAATTTTAACGGCACAAACCTGCACTAACCGAGCACTAACGAACCAGCCCACTTTGGTTTGTTTTGGAGCTGTATGGGGGGATGGTGAACTCTGATGACCTAAAAAAATAACTTTTAATATCTCAACAATGAAAGCTGCACAAACGACAATTTTAACGGCACAAACCTGCACTAACCGAGCACTAACGAACCAGCCCACTTTGGTTTGTTTTGGTGCGTAATGGGGGGATGGTTACGTAATCGGCCAAATTATAAATTTTAATATCTCAACAACGAAAGCTGCACAAACGAAAATTTTAACGGCACAAACCTGCACTAACCGAGCACTAACGAACCAGCCCACTTTGGTTTGTTTTGGAGCTATATGGGGGGATGGTGAACTCTGATGACCTAAAAAAATAATTTTTAATATCTCGGAAACCAAAACTGCACAAACGAAAATTTTAACGGCACAAACCTGCACTAACGGAGCACTAACCAATCAGACTATCTGCTGGATTTTATGACGTAGGTGGGGTGTCAGCTTCACGTAGGTGACCTGAAGCGACTGGACGTCGCACGAGACGCGTACATCAGCGGCCTGCTCGCAGCGCACGCGCGCGCGGCCTCCCGCCGTCCCAAGACCCGCGCGTCCCGGAGAACAATGAAACGCTCCCCGCAGCACAAAGGACGTCGCCGTTGGAGGCAGAAGTAGGACAGACGCACGCGAGGCACGTCAGGCATGTCCTGTGAAGCCCCGCCGCGGAATGTGCGGCAGGGAGCGCAGAGCGCAGGCCGCGCCGCGCCGCGGCGGCTCTGGACCAATAAGAAAGAAATGGACTTCTCTGGTGACACAGCGCGAACCGTTTATGCCATGCGGCGTTTTAACAGCGACCATCTTTTACGTCATAAAAGCATTTAGAGCGTCTGATGACTCGCTTCCGGTTGTCTGAAGGTTTGCTCCTGGCCGTTTTCCTGGTAAGCTGACCGTCTGTTTAGGAAAAAAAAATGCAAAAAAAAAAAAAATAAATCCCCTCAGACCTGCACTAACCTGGAGCGATTCAGCAGAGATAAGTCAAACAATCCATCTTCATTTTTTTGTTTCTTTTCCCATGACAAGTGATCTTCATGAAGATAAAGAAAGTTCCCTAAATACCTCAGAGATCTTAATTTAACATGATGGATTGATAACGTGACCTGATATTTCCACCAACGCCCTCCTTTATTTATTTTATGAGCGTGTTGGATGGGATTTGCATTCCTGCTTTATAACGGCAACACACCTAAATCCTGATATGAGCCGGGAAAATAATAAAAAAAAATCCTGCAAACATGACCTGGTTGCTCAATTGCTTTTGGCTGGATGACACAGAACAGCTCACAGCTCCCTCTGCTGCTGGTTTGTGACACTGCATGTAAATAAACATGTCCCACCTTCCATGGCAGGAATAGATATTTTTTGCCTCATGCAGTTAAGCATTTAAATAAAACATTGTGCAACATGCTGCGTTACTTCAAGACACGGGTTTTCAAAACGTCAGTTAAGTAACAGGATCACCGACCCACGAATCCAGTCCATCGATTTTATCTCGGCATTTTATGATACTGACAAAGTAATTTATTGTCCTTTCCTAAACTTTTGTCTCTGGATTTTGAACTCTCTGGAATAAACTGCAGTCATTCTACATTGGGGACAATAAACGGTCTTCACCTCCATCATATCAAGAACTGGAGTTCCTCAAAGTTGTGTACTCAGTACACTCCTGTTCACACGAACAAACACAAACAAGGGTTGACCGATAAATTCATTTAATCAGCTCATCAAATTTTATTTAATTTTTGGAAAGTCAGGGTTTCCCCCACCCCCAAAAGCATGTGATGCTCAAGTTCCACATGCAGAACTTTAGCACCTCTGAACTGGAGAAATGCCTGCATTGCCAGCCTTGGTGCTGTTTGTTGGTGTGTGTGTGTGTGTGTGAGGAAGGGTGTTCATAGAATAATCATTATCACATATCAAAGTGACAAGTCAGAGGTCTTGGCAAGCGGCCGACCACCACTTCTCTGTTCCCTGTAATAACAAAAATGCAAAACACATTTTTTTCCCTCAGTTTATTTCCATTCTTCCAATGTGTCTTTGATTTAAAACAAAGCTATAAAAATGCATCTGGATACGGCTCCGCTGGCCTCTCCGCCGTCCACATGGTCGACATTAACATTCCGCCAGGTTACTAATGATGAGGACGGAGCAGGCTGCAGGGGGAGGCTTCATGACAGTGCTGGCATGGCGCGCGCATTCCTGCGCTGAACGAGCTGCAGAGTGGGCGGCTGTGACGCTGGGGGCACTGGGGAGAGAAACTGTCCTCAAAACTCAATATAAAAAGATAAAAAGATCAGCTTTTCCCAAAGAGGACACCGAACAACATTGCACATCAATACATCTACGGCAATATTAGCATTTGTCATACTAATATTGAATATTTGCCATACAATATATGATATCTAAGTGCAATGTTACCACAGGAATATTACTGGTTCACTAAATGCCATTTGATGCCAATATTTACTCACCTCAGCATGCTCAGTGCTCAAAGTGGCTCCAAATGCCAGCAGCGTGGCCAACTTTATGATTTGTTTGGGTAACAATTATTACAATTAAAGGCTCTCATTGAGCTGTGAGAGTTCATCACAAGATGGTCAGCTGATCCTTAAATATCAAAACAAGACGAGAGGACGTCACGGCAACGTGTCCTGCCAAGACCACGGCGTTCATCACAAACAGACAAGCTGTACAAAGTCAGAAGTGACACATGCGTCCGTCACGTGACACAAATGTCAGTAATCTTGTGATTTTTAATACGCCAAAATGTGTAGTGAATTAGGAAATGTAAATTAAGGAATCAGCAGTCACACACCGGTTTGGTACTGTTTATCAGGTATGCTAAGGCAGGAGGGCAGGGTCACGGCGCGGAGCCGAATCGCTCTCCCGAGCCGCTCGCCAGGAACCGGGACACCGTCCTAAAGTTGTTCTCCTTCATGCCGCGGATGTGGCTGTCCAGTTTCAGTCGCAGCTCGTTGGACCACAGGCTCTCCTCCTCCAGGAAACGAGACACTGCGCTGCGTGCAGGGGACAGCGCCTCCTGGTGGAGAAGAGCACAAACACCTCCAGTCGTGGTTCAAATTCTTTCAGAGCATTGCAAGGCGAGTTTTCAAACTTTCGGAATCACACTTTGGAAATGAAAACAACACAAATGAGCCAAAGAAAGCAAGCTTCAATTCACTATTACATGAGATCACTTATTACAGTTAATAATGTCTCGTGAAGGTAGTCGACATTTTAACTTTTTTGCTTTAACGCCCATATTTCTTTGTGTTAGTTTTTTGGGTCGCTAAATATACCAAGAAAGAAATACCAAGTCCAAATAAAACCTCATCCCACTTAAAAGCAATTTAAAATTAGATTTTGGTTGAAAAGCGGCTTTTTATCAGGTGCGGAAAAATATGTGGTTTCAACTGTAAATAACGTTTTCCAAATATAAGCTTTCAATCAAAAGTCAGATTGCACTTCATTACAAAACTGTGCCACTTGAACATCAAACACTTTCAAAGACGTTACATTGAAATCAAGAACTTTCCAAACCTCGAAAACATCAAATTGAAATTCTAGTATTTTCAAGGATTTCAGGCAGACAGACGTTTGGCCCCTGTGGCCCCTGAGTGCAGATCGATCATGGAAGGAAACTCACCTCTGGACCTCTGGAGGTCAGACAGTTTTCAGGGCCGGAGTTTTGACCCTCAGCAGCAAGTCTGGGTGGAGTGTGGGCTGCTCCTGCGTTTCCTCTGCTCAGTCCGGGGCTGCTGGTGGAAGACGAGGACGATGAAGATGAGTGCAGCTGGCTGTCTTTGCGCTCTCCGCCAGGCGGCTCTTTGGAAGACTTTGGAAAGACCTGAAGCTCTTTAAAGAGCCTCTGGATCTTTCTGTCATAGCTGGAGGGCTGAGTCCTGCAACGACAGCCGTTCAGAGCGTTTCGCCGTGGAAGTGTTTCTGTTCCCATGCGGACGCACCACCTACCATTCTGGACCAGGATGCACCTGTGCCGACGTCATGGTGTGGCCGAGCGCGACGTGTTGGTTCCTCTCCGGACCCGTTTTATCCTGAGCGTCCAGCTGCATGTGGTGCTTAGCGAGCGCCTGCTTCAGCTGCCGGTTCTCCTCTTCCAGGCTGCTTATGGAGGTCAAGTGGCGCTGGTGCAGGATCTCCCCACTCCCCTGGGGAGAGACGGGCGATCGACGGATGAGCTGCACAACCAAGAACGTGCAGAACTTACTTTAAGGACAAGGATCTAACAGGTTTTCTGCAGGTTTGACTGACTTAAATCTGAGGCTTTTTAAGACCATTAATAAAATTTAATTCCTGCATCGCGACAGAAAGGTACAAAAGAAAATGACATAGTATATATGACATCTTTTTTTGCACAGAACGCACCTGGCCTCGTATAGGTGGCAATCGAAGATAAATTTACACTTAACAATGAAACTTGGACATCATGCGCTAAATAAAGGTGCTACCACAATGAAATGCATTACAAACAATAAAACACTATATTAGCAGGTAATTAGCGCTAGCCTCAACGACTTCAAGCCACAAGACAGAATGAAGATGTCTGTGTGTGACTCAAACATTTGCCTGTAAACAAACTACACAGAATATAGAAGAGATAACAGCCTGCAAGATTTAAGAGCACACTTAAACGTATTTAAGGCCAATCAAGATTTTTTACAGAAATTTAAAAACACTTTCAGATCTTAAATTAAGATGCACAAATGTAAGTGTTTTTAAGGATGCGCGGTCTCTCTGTCTTAGATGCTGCTGGGTGATGAATACTCAGACACAAACCTTGGGAGGTTGGGACTGGAGCGTCTGCAGCAGACCTTTCAGATACTCGTTCTCGGCCTGCAGAGTCTCCAGCTGCACCTGAGTCATCTGAGTAACGTGAGAGGAAAGAATCCGGGTGGTTTCACTAAACCCAGCAGAAAGGTTAAACATTTGGTCTTGAAAGATATGAGAGTCTCTCGCATTTTGTTTAACAGCTACAAATCGAGAGGAAAAAAAATCTGTAAAGTGTGGCATACATTTGCATTCAGCCCCATTTGCTCTGATACCTGCTGACTCTGGAGGAGCTGCAGAGAGAACAGGACAACTAACACCCTGATAATCTACAAATCTGGCCTAAATGAAAGAAAGGCAAGAGGAAAACCAGACTTTAAAAATCTGACCTGCTGATTCTGACAAGTGGCTAAATATAACTTTTACAGAGAACAGTGACTGATTTTCAGACATAGATAATGAACGATTTTTCAGGTAAGTATTGGCCATTCTCCAAGATAGAGATAGCTATCAAAGTAGCAAGAGACAGCCAGCTAGAATAGATAGACACTCACTGACCGACTGATAGACAGAGAGATAAACTGGTAAAATGAAGGATGGAGCCCTAATAAAAAGCTCCGTTATCAGTTGGGTGAAAACAGCACTCACGTATTTCAACAGTCCAGTCAAAGTCTCGGCCTGAACTCCTTTTGATAATCAAGGGCATCACTTAAAAACAGTTGCTATCTGGGATTTTTAAGAGACGAACGTGGAAATATTGTCCATCTACGGACGTGGAAAGCTGAGGCTGAATACAAAAACATGCCACACTTTCCAGATATTTGTAACAACAACAAAAAAATACAAGTTCCTCCAGGTTCTTTTCTTTTCTCTTCATGCACATTTCTGAACCATGCGGCCCCAAACCGACCTTGAGCTGCGTGGCTGCCTCCGCCGCCCGCTGCGCCTCACTGCGAAGCTGCTGCTGGATGCTGGCCGAGGAGCCGCTGAGCGCCGAGATGGACAAGTCGCGCTGGTGCAGCTCGCCGGTCAGCTTCGACACCTCCCTCCTCATGCCCTCCACCTCGGCGCTGTGGGTCTGCCGCACCGTCTCCAGCTCCTGCCGGAGCTGCGGGGGCGACTCCAGACATGTGAGGGGCGACCCGACACGAAGGTGATGGGGAAAAAGAAAACAAAGCAGAAAGAACGAACGAACCCCCAACCTTTTTGCTTTCAGCGACCGAGTTGTCAAAGTCTGTCGCTACGTTTCTCAGCTCTTTCTCCAGGTTTGTTTGATCCTTTAGCTGTCGGCTCATGCTCTCCAATCTGCGTTCAGGCGAGAGGAAGCACAGGGACGTTTAGCCCGATTTACACAATTAAAACACAAATCAAAGATATTAAGAAAAAAATAATTATAGAGCAAGAAGAGGTAAAAACCTGGTGGATTTATATTAATCGTGGAGAAAAAACTATAATATGTATACAATTTATGTGGGTAAAACAATAAGTATATCAGACTATTATCACAAAGTGTTTGTCCACTTTCAGCTGTAATCAACAACAATTCCAAATGTTGCTGATGATACTTATTATGATGCTTTCGATAAGGGCTTTCTTGTTTTCTTTTAACGTGACGCCAGCAGTCACCTACCTCTGTTTCAGACATGTCAGCTCCGCCCGGAGGCTCGCCTCGCTGGCCTGAGCGCCCTGCAGCTTGTCGGCCATCTTCTCCAGGTCCTTCCTGATGACCTCCACGCCGGTGCAGCCCTGAGCCGCCAGGCAGTCCTCCAGAGAGCTGCGGAACGACAACAACACCAAGCAGTCCGTCACCTTTGCTTCAGGTTCCCGCCCGACACTGTGAGGTTAGAGCGCCCCCCCCCCCTTTGTGCAGAAGGCGCAGCGTCGCATCCAGCAGAGGAGAGAGCTTTTAAACGTCCGCCCACCGGATGACTTGGTCTTTAGCGTGGAGCAGCTGTTTGAGTCTGACGGCTTCGTTTCGAAGTCTTTGCTGGTCCAGGTCAGCTCCCCTCAAGGCGTCCGGTTCGTCTGACCGCAGCTGCGGGACAGAGAGGTCACGTCTGTTAACACTGGACTTCAATGAGTTCAACTGATTCAGCTTTGACAGCAACAAATGAAATACTGACCAACATATTTGATGTTTGTGGATGATGCCACTTGACAAAATGCCATGAAATGATGCGCTTATGATGTAAAGCACTTTGAGCTGCTGAAATGTACTACTTAAATAAACTTGACTGGTTGATATAAAATCCCAATGAAACGTGATTTTATGTAGGTTTGGGTTTGTGATGTGACGGTGTCACTCACTACTTACTGTATGTAACATGTGGTATTTAATATACACTCACTAGTTGTCCAAATTATGATCTCTGTTATTTTTAGAGTTCAAAGAGTTTTATATAAGCAGAGTTAGGTAGTATCTAGTTATATTTATGCAATTACATTTAGTGATTGCATACATTGAGAATAAAATAAGTACTTTTTTTTCTTATTCTAAATGTACTTTTAGGATTATTTTACTGCACTCCTTACTTTTACTTGAAAATTTTTTATCATGAAGTAGTTTTACTCGTTCTTGAGTAAAATTTTCTGGACTTTCCACCCACTGAATGAAAAACTAAAGTTTCATAATGAAAGAAATTGATTTGGGAAATACATTTTTTGTTACTTATATGAATTACTGTCATTCTGGTCCTTTAAAAAAAATTAAAACATTTCCACTTCACTTCATATTTTGGTTCGTCTGACGATGTCATTTGTAAATACTAAACGACTGATAAGTTAATCAGTTTCACAATAATTGAGTAAACCTTTTACCAATTGCTTGAATAACTTCTTGAAGGAATAATTTTTACTTTTCCCTGAGTAAAAACATTTTACAGTAGTGCTACTCTTTGGCGCTACTAAGTCTTTGGCTCTCTGCCCACCTCTGTCCATGGCCCCCCTCCTTCGCCCATGCTGACCTCCTGTGGCTGTCCCAGCAGGGCCTCACAGGGCCGCAGGCGCTCAAGCTCCAGCTCCTGGGACAGCAGGCTGCTGCGGGCCTTCTCCAGCAGAGCGCTGAGATGCTGCACCTCCGAGCAGCACTCCATGTGCTCCTGCTCCACCCGCCACGGTGCACTCTGGGAACAAAGCACGGCACGGTGATGAACGACCGCTTCCAGGTCGGCGTCTCTCTCTCTGGTTCAGTTACCTTAATGTGTGAGATCTCCTCAGTCAGGCTCTTATTCTGAGCCTCCAGAGTGGCGAGCTGCTTCTGGTACTGCGCCCGCTGCTGCTCCCACTCCAGAGAGAGCCGCTGGTACTCCTGCAGCAACCAGCAGGGTTATCTACACTGCTACTGGTGCTACTGCCAGGTCCGGTGTAAGCAATGCGGAGAGGGTGATGTGGGAATGTTACCTTCAACCGGTCTGATTCTTTTGCTCCTCCGCTTGTCTGCTTGAGATGTTTGCGCTGGAGTTTTTGGTAACTTCCCTTTAAATGGTCCAGCTGAAAGACAATGGCGTGTTAGGGTCATTGTTAATAGGAGAAAAAATAAATAAAAAAAGGAGTACATTTTCACCAAACAATTTCAGAAATTGTCAAGAAAGAACCTGGAAATTTATGAGTTTAGAAAGTTGAAAATTAGTTAGAAAAGAGGTTTTCGGATGAATCTCAGAAATTTTCTAAGAAAACATTTTCTTGTCATTACATTTTTTTTCCACCTTTAAAAAGTCAATAATTTGCAGAACAAAGAAAAAGTTTTTTTTAGATCATTCTCAGAAATTTTTGAGATAAAATGTGAAAATGTTTAAAAAAAAACAGTCCAATCCTTTGAAACTCAGAAATTTTTGAGAGAAAAATAACCGTATTTCAAAATTTGTGAGTTTTTTCCGGCAAAAATCTGCTCTAACATGCCGTTTGTCAGCAGGACTACAATCATTCAGTCCAACTTTGAATGCCTCCGAGGAGAAAGAAATAAAAGCAGTCGCTCTCGCGGGTAAACGCTGGGACTGTTTGCTCCAAGGTGTCTCACCTCTTCTCTGAGTTTCTGCAGCTGTTGCTCGTACTTTGCGACTGCCTCTTGGCGACTTCTCAGGATTTCCTCCATCTGTTTCTGAAGTACTCCAATCTGCAAACAGAACCCCTTGGATGAAACTCCTCATGCAACAACTTGGGACATTTAAGGAACAAGAGTCCCAGGCCTGTTCACTTCACCTCCAGGTCCCTCCGCTCAATGATGCTTTTGGAGGTCAGCAGGCCATCCTCTCCGTTCTTCACCTTGACCTCCAGGGCAAGCTTCTCGGCCTTCCACTCCTTCCTCTGGTGGCTGATCATGATGTCGATCTGTCTCATCAGTTCCTGGAGCTCTGGCTCGCATGACGACAGGACAGAACTGCAGCACACAGACCGGATAGAAGCACGTCTGTTAGAGCCAGTAAAACACAAACACTGACGTTCTAATTCAGTTTGGTGTCACCTAAAGTTTGTGTTCCGCGCTGATTCAAAAGAAGCCTCCATCTGGATTAGTTTGTTTTTGTGTGTGTGTGCTTCTTGTGGGTAAAGTCTTCCCTGGAGGTGTTAACCTAAAGGCTCCTCATGCCTTCCGCTGGCTGACAACAAAACAGCTCGTGGAATCCTGGACGTTACGCCGCCTCTACTGCCACCCAACCGAACTGGGCAACAACGACGCTTCCCCTGAGCTGCTGGAGAAACGGAAAGGACCGATCCGAAACACTGAGCTTCATACAGTCATCTACTAGCGGCGGAGGCTAATTTACAGCTAAGTTAGTCGGTCCAGGGATATTTGTTTACATCCGTAACTGCACTTATGCCGCCTTTCACTCCTTTGAGTACAATGAACTTCCTGCGGTGACCCCGCCCCCGTACTGTGACCTCAGCACGTTGTACGTCAACTTAACCGAATCCTCGAGTTCCAGAAGGCGCTCATGGCTCGTCTAAATAGGAAGGTACAGTAAATTTAATGATAAGGTATGAGGTATGCAAGGTATTACATAACTACGACTACATATAAAACACGTAACACGCAACATCGTTGTATTTATAAGTATAATTTCCATTGTGCCGCACAGTTGAACACGTGGCTCGTTGGTCTAGGGGTATGATTCTCGCTTCGGGTGCGAGAGGTCCCGGGTTCAAATCCCGGACGAGCCCACCTTTTACAACTGGTTTTATAGCTGCTTTTCCGTTTCCCCCCATTTATGTAGATGTAATATGCACCATTTGTTCCTTTGTTGCTAGGCGTTCTTATGACATACGAGTATACACAGAGGCAAAATACTAAACTCTTGCAAAGCATAGATCTTTTGAAAGATTTGAAAATTCATACCCTCCCTTGTTTTATTCTGATCCAATGGGTTGGGGCGCTGCTTCACCATTTCGACTTTTCGCCATTGCGTGCCTGTTGGCTCGTTTTTTCATTCGATACCAAGAATGAAACACATAGAGGCGTCTGCTCCTGCTACTGACAGGAAATGTGCCAACGGAACCATTGCATTTCTGCTGGTCTTTTCGGGTGAAGAAATTGATCCAAAGAGTGAATAACGGCATTCTAATTCAAACCAGTGGACATGGCTATAGCATGTCTCCGTGACAGGTACAAGATCGTGACCGGCCTTTTTTTCCGTGTGGCTCGTTGGTCTAGGGGTATGATTCTCGCTTTGGGTGCGAGAGGTCCCGGGTTCAAATCCCGGACGAGCCCAGTTTTTTTCCCGGTGTATCTTTAAACAATTCCTCACCATCTGACTGCATGTACATCATTTTATATATATATATATATATATATATATATATATATATATATATATATATATATATATATATATATATATATATAGTTCCTCCCCTTCTATCCACACCCCTCCTACTGCCTCCATCCTCCCTTCCTTCTTCCTCCACCTGCTTTCGGTCAAACGGCGAACAAAGAGCGCCTCCACCTCTTTGCTCCCCCAGCTGTTGTTGGGAGGGCTTACAGCCGGGTGGAAATAAAGAGAGAGACGTTCCTGTTCCGCCCCCACAATCGCCGCAGACAGTCCTGACAGCCGGGCAGCAGCGACACTGAACGAGGCGGATCGAGATCATCTCAGCTGTAAGTACAACCATATATGAGCTTTATTCTGCAGAGAAGAGAGAGATCACATGATGCCATCTTGCCTGTTACATCTGTTTCTGTTTCCTTAGAGCTTCTTTAAGTTCATGTTTTATAATAATGTGTTGATAAAGCAATCTAAACTTTTTATTCATGTTTGACTTCTCTGTAGACATTTGAATGTTATATTCTTCTACTATCTGCTGAAGTTGAATGAAAAATGTGATTTTTTTTAAAGGCTCATAATCTTTGCATCTTTACAACAGTCTAGTGACATTTTGTTTCATAATTTGATTCATAATTTGAGTCAGCGTGAGAATTTGACACACATTCTTTCATTTCACCCTCAGGGATTCATTATTATTGTTTATTATTCTTCACCGCAGCAGAAGAAGGAGGACTAACTCCCAGCGTGCGCCTGACGATGGTCCTGTGTGAGGATGGCGAGTGCAGCGTCTGCCTCCTGCCGTACTCCCGCATGGACCGGATACCCCGGCTGCTCCACTGCAGGCACACCTTCTGCGAGCCGTGCCTGGAGACCATATCCCGGCTGCACAGCGGTTACCTGGCCGTGTCCTGCCCGCTGTGCCGCCGGGTCACCTGCATAGGGCGAGAGCGCAGCCTGCAGGAGGCCCTGTGGGTCGACCTGGAGCTGTGGGAGCGGATTCAAGAGGCCACAGTGGTGGAGGAGCGGGAGGATGGACAGAAACGAAGAGCGACGGTGCAGAGGGCGGAGGCGGCGCAGCAGCCCGCATTACAGGCCGAGTGGTGGGTTCATGACAAGAAACACTAATATTTACCTGGAAAGTGACTCCATTTAACTTCTGCCGCTGTGGAAATGAGATTTTCCACAACCGTTTTGTCCCGACGCCACACAGAGATGACATAAACATAAATATGGGGGCTTGTTCTGGGAACAAAACACACCTCAGGCTTTATTCCAACTAATCCTCAACAATTGAGTAGTAATGATCAATCGTTAACTGGAACGTTTTTGAAGCAGAAGAACTCAGAATAATGAAGTTACAAAGGTACAAAAAATATACATTTTGAATCTGTGATTTAAAAAAAATCTACTTTGTAGATATGTTGTAACCACAACTTCTCAAATGACATAATTTTAGATTTATCTGGTTCAAATTAGGTAAAAAAAAAAAAAAACTATGTCAAGTTGAGTAGAAGGGTTAAAGTTTTCACATGCTGATGTTAGAGGAACGTTTCAGCTGCAGACGCATCATTTGGTACAAATAATCAAACATGCTAATGAAACGCTACATTGATCCATTTTAGGCAAAACATGTTTGTTTTTATTTTAAAATTAACTGAATTGTTTATTTATTTGCATCTTTTTATGTATTTCTACTATTGTTAAAAGAAAAAAAAAGAAGGTTGAAGTGGTTTTATAAAAAATCTGCAGACTGAGCCAATTTTTAAAAATCCAATCAATCGTCAGAATGATCGATGATCGAATAGATCGCTGCAGCCCTGTGCGAGCGTCCGAGCGCCTCGGGGAATAAACGTAGGAATTCCTCACATATCGAGGCGGTGGCACGTGTGCAGACGTCCCATTAGCGCCTGAGCTCTGCCACAGGAAGCTCAACTCCTGCCCCGTCTGCCCTCTCCTCAGCGTTTCCTGGCGGCCGGCCCCGGCGCGCCTCCGGCTGCCCGCTCTGTTCCGGAGGTTCAGCTGGACCAAGCCGCACCGGGAGACGGTCGTCCCCAGCAGCAACAACGTGTGAGTTTTCACTTCCTGGACGGTCGTCAGAACTGCCTCAGAGGAAAGAAAGTGACTGAAGAGGTTTGCTTTTCCTTTTTCTCTTTTGTTTCATTTAGAGAAATGAAATCTTGGCGCCGACTCTCAACAGACGACGTCTTCTAAGAAATGCAGCCGGAGGATCCATTTGTCTTCCTGCTGGGAGACGGTTTTGTCCTCAGCTGAAGGTCTTCCCATTATTTCACCCAGGCTTAGTTCTCCCAGCTGGTGCAGTGGGATTTAGTTCAGCTGTCCCAGTTCGCCTGACGCCCCCAACGCCCCTCACAGCAGATGGTCCGCTCCTCATCACCCAGCATAACTTATTATTTTCTTTATTTATGACAGTTTGTTGACAGAGTTTGTAATTAAACTATTTTTAAAATATTTATTTTCCACATTTTTTTTTTAAATGTCTTGTTTTGTGATTTTAAGAATCATAAATTCCAGTTTGAAAACTCCACTCTTCTCTCCATCTTTCCTGAAGTATCAAGTCAGAACATGAATATGATAATGTGACTGGAACTTTATGCACAGCAAAAAAAACCCCAGCTTTGCATAAAACACTCAGTCAGCCGTGAAAGTGGATTATAATCTTCATTCATCGAGCATCTGGCAAATTTTCCACGTTAAACGATATCAGAGAACTGGATCGTCACTTCCAAGGGAACACCCTTCGTTCCCCTGCCTGCCTGTGTCTGGAGGGTTCTGTCACACACACACACACACACACACACACACACACACACACACACACACACACACACACACACACACACACACACACACACACACACACACACACACACACACACACACACGTCTCACTCCAGAATCGTTGTTTCAGCACGAATTTGTTTCGCCTCAGTCATATTAAGGTCAGCGCAGTAAGAAATCCGTTGGTCGTCCCACTGGTTTGGCAAACAGCAGGCTGCCTCAGCTGCAGATCTCTTAAAGAGACAGTCCCACTTTAACGCCTGTTATTAATCCGACTGAGCCTTTCAATTCCCTTTTTTCAGTGGTGGTTTGATGTATTTGGGATTAAATGTGAGAGATCTAACCCACAGGTGTCAAACTCGAGGCCCGCGGGCCAAATCTGCCCCTCCACAGCTGTCAAATAGGCCCTCTACAATTTAGAGGGCCACATAAATTGAAGTTTTAAAGTAACAGCTACACGCTTAAATATAATTTTATCAGTGAACTCCAACAAGTTTTTAACCGTATAGGACCAAATTACATTATTGTGAAAATATTTTACGGATGGCTGCAATTTGATCATGTTCTGACACAGACACTGTAATATTTCAACTATTTGCTAACGGGCAATTTTGTCACAAGCGGCCCTTTGAGGATATCCAATGGATATCAGTGGATATCCTCAAAGATGAGTTTGGCACCCCTTCTATTGTCCAGCTTGTATGTTTAGTGTTTGCACCTTCCTCTGCCACACTTTTTTTCTTCCACTCAACTTTCTACCAACATGTTTGGATACAGCACTCTGAACAACAAGCTTCTTTAGCATTTGGTGCTCGTTCTACTGACCCACAGAGAACATGTTCAGGATTAAATGGGCTCACTAGGTTTTGACTTACAATATTCTAATTCTCTGATACACCCAACATTGGGTTTTCATTCTCTGTGAGCTACAATAATCAAAACTACAAGAGAAAAGGCTCAAGATATTTTATTCCATGCACCATCAATCTATTAATATGATGCAGGTAATATGTGACAAAACATATTTTTTATCATATACTAATTTTCTTTAGACATAACTACATAGGGTAATGTTCTCCAACGACTTCACTTTTACAAAGCCTGGTGAAATGAGTGTTATCACAGAGCTAACATTAATTTATTGACCATTTCTGCGAAAAAGCTGAATGTATAACCTGAATGAGAACGAGCATCGTTGGAGATAATCTCCGGGAGGGACAAGCAGGAGTTTCAGTTTCACAACACATTTCCTGACTCATCATTTGTGACTGATTGTGCTAATAATTAGGATTAAAGTTGAACTGCGAAGGAAGAAACTCCCAGTGATGTTACAAACACATTCTGTTACAAATATTCGGCCTTTCAGCATCATTCAAAGCGTGTCTAATTTAATTATTGGTATCCATAAAATAAAACTGTCCATTATAAGCAAACTCCAGATGTACATCACTAAAAGTTTAATGATCCGCACACACAGCAGTAGCTGCCCAGCAAATTCAGGTAGTGGTGAGGCCAAACAGGAAGTCCAGCAATGCAATCTTTGAAACAACATTGGGTAAACACTTACCAGGGTTTGCTAAGTGTATTAGGTAATGTACATTCCTGTGTTGGGTTGCTTAATCCGCTCAAACTGTAACAATGTCTGTGACTGTACAGTACAGGTGAGCAGCACCTGATGGCAAACAAACAGAGCCAACCAGTCAGCTGACCTTATAACCCAGGTTCTGAAAAATAACTGGAAATAAAGAAACAATAGACAATTGTTAAGACAATAGTCACATCAAACTAACTAATTTCCTTTTTAGTCCTGGAGGAGGAAAGTTATTTCAGATTTATGTTTTCCATAAGGAGAAAACATTTCTATCTCCTCTATTGTATTAAAAAAGTCACTTACAAAATGAATGTTATAATCGCTACAGTTCCTGAAACGTTTTGGAAAAGGCAGCAGCTGTTTGGGAATCATCTTTTCTTTAGTTCTCATGGTAGATTTCCTGTTTGTCATCCTTGGTAAAAGCTTTTATAGCTTTAACTAAAGAAATACGAATAAACTGTCTTGATAACAGGTGGCTGATAAGAAGCCTTTTTAAAAATGCAGATGTTAATAATAAACACAAAACACATTTATGTAACTTTCTTCCAAATATCCCCTGATGTACTGACACCCCCACATCAGTCTCATTTTTTTTGGTTTTCCAGGTGGATTAACTGTAAATATTTTGTAATTGTAATTCTGAAAATATGTTTTTATAACATGTACAATCTCCTGCTCACATTTTCCTGTCCTCATCAAGACATGTCCTCAATAGTATTAAACATTTCTATTTCTGATGAATGAACTTTATGAGCAGAATATAGAGAGCACATCAACCTGCCAACAAGCCGTGCATTAAAGCTTTCAGGGCTAAGTGAAGTAAATTTTGGTTTCTTACTGTGTCAGACATGGCAAACTACAGCACTGAATTATATTTCAGGAAATAAAACAAAGGTACTTACATGTGTGCTGCTATAAGCTTGACAGAAACTGAAAAGCCCAGTTGATCTATTTAGACAGATAATCTCATAATCTCATAACAAAGAATCAAATGTTAATGCATTTAAATTAATTCATATTTTCTGTTTGCTAAGCAACTACCGAATTGGGATTGTATCCAATATTAGTCATAAAACATCTATCGGTCATATTAATGAAGGAAATGCAAAAAAAACTTATATTTTTAATTAATCAAAGTTAGACTTTTATGTCACAATTAATACCTAAAATTAGCAAGCAAAACTAATAATACAAGAGATGTGGCAGTGGCCCTCAGTGGATTATTGTATGTTGGTGGACAAATACAGCTGATTTTCCATTGTCATGTTGTGACTATGTGTTACTCTGGTGTCGGCCAATAGGGAAGCTGAATATCTGGTTATATTACACTCACTGAAACTGGGCGGTTTTACTGAGTCGGGACAGGAACTGAAGTTCAGAGGAACTGAAGTTGATGTGCATGTGATGGTTACGTAATAATTAACCGTCATTACTTATTCGTCTAAGCAATGACGGTAATATTTAATAAAAGGTTAGGTTTTTAATTTGAGAAAAACATTTTATCAAATCAAATGATGAGCAAAGGAGAAAGTAATAAAGACACTCATGCAGAAGGTTGGTAATAAGACATCTTTATTAACCATTTGGAGAGACATGCTAGATCTCTGTACAGTGTGAATGAGAACTAGGTCAGCAGTAATCAGGTTTGATGTCTATTGTGATAGTACAATAGACACTGATCTGTGATAGTACAATCACAACAGTCAGCAGGGAGACCACCCCGGTCCCTGCTCCAACACGCAAAGATCCCACTTACGTCCCTCCGTCCAACTCAGTGGAATGTTGAAATGGGCCGTCAAAAAATAAAGGTGGACTCTGCCATATTCAGGATTTAAATACAATGGCGTATCTCCAAAATTCAATCTGAAAAACAAATACTCCAGAGTTATTTGTTAGAGCGTTTTTCTGACAAGGAACCAAGAACATTTTGTTGCTTCCTCTCAGCATGTCGAGGGAAGTCCAGTGGCACTTTATTTTGGTACGTTTGTATTCTGGTGAACGTTTCCTGCAATATTTTGACCAGCTGTTTTACTATTTGGCTCATTATGTTGGTTAGAGTTTGTTTTAGACGTGTGCTCCATATATAGATGTGTGAAAACAATTCCCAAACCAACACTTCTACTCTAGGACACACTACTCCAAATTGTATGGAAATTAACAATGAACATTTCCTTTTAACGGTTTACATTTTCACTCTATATCTAAAACACATTCTGCAAAAGTGCTGTAAAGACTTCACATCAAAGACACATCAAATCGAAGTAGTGTTCTTAGCACTGGCCGACTTCACCACCAGAACGTTATGATAACTGGCCCCGAAGGCGGACAGAAGTAGTCCATAATGTCAACATTTTCATTCAGTTCAAACACAGGCAGGAGAAATCAAATGTGGAAACACGTTATGCGACAGTTTCTTTAACGATCAGACACATCTTTGAATTAAGCGACTGTACAATTAGAATGAAGCGTCCCCCAACTTCATAATAACCTGAAAGGTCTACATGTGCAAATTAGTCTTTAGTCGGTGAGGAAACAGAAGAACGTCGTTTTAAGGGTGTAGTTGGCCCGTCTGCTCGGAGGCAGAGGGTTGGACTCTTCGCTGCTCGTTCACAGCGATCTGCATACACAGATCATCGATAAAAACACATAATTCTCCCACAGTGTGACAGCAGCTGGACGGACACAGTCCGTGACATTCAGACCGGAGGTGTCCTTAAAGAGAGGCGGAATGTGGCGGGAGTGAAGTGACGTGGCAGTGGCCCTCGGTGGAACTGCGTTCTAATGCCGTCCATACAGAAAGCACAAATTTACACACACGCACGGCAAAAAATTAAAAATTAAATCAGAAGGTCGTCAGAAGTCAAGTATACAAACCCAGCTCTTAGAATGCTGTGCAATCAAGTCACTGGTGGAATATTACATTTTTCAAACTCGTGTACAACTAGGCATGCATTACGTACTCTGGACTTTACAGCTCGGATTGATCCGAAATGTCTGAAATACAAATGTGAGGATAACAGCAGGGCTTCAGGCAGGAAGGCTGTGATTGGCTGTTCTGTAATTAGCTCTGAGATACTGAAGAATAGTCAATAACAAAGCTGAAAACGTATTTTTTTTGCGATTGCCCACAATCATTGTTGCACACAATACGGTCT